ACTATGGGTATCTGCTACTACTTCCATCAGCTGCTGGATGAATGCTCTAGGATGGCATATAAGTTAGTCATCAATCTCATTATCAGGAGAGGGCATTTAAGTAGGTCTCTCCACTGTTGCTTGGATTGTTAGTTGGTGTCATCCTTGTAGATCTCTGGACATTTCCCTATTTCTTTTTAAACCTATAATGACTCCCTTTATTGTGGTATCTCTTATTTTGCACTCCTCTATTCTTCTCCCTGCACAACCTTCCTGCTCCCTTATGTCCTCCTCACCCCTCCTTTTCTCCCCTTCTCATTCTCCTGGCTCCCTCTCACCTCCCCCATGCTCCCAAGTTGCTCAGGAGATCTTGTCCCTTTCCCCTTCTCAGGGGGACCATGTATGTCACTTTAAGTCCTCCTTGTTCCCTAGCTTCTCTGGTAGTGTCGATTGTAGGCTGTTAATTTATTGCTCTATGTGTAAAATCCACATATGAGTGAGTGTATACCATGTTTGTACTTTTGTGACTGGGATATCTTTCTCAGAATGGTTACTTCTAGTTCCATCCATTTGCCTGGGAATTTCAAGATTCCATTGCTTTTTTCAACTGAGTGATACTCCATTGTGTAAATGTACCACATTTTCTCTATCCATTCTTCATTTGAGGGGCATATAGGTTGCTTCCGGGTTCTGAGTATTACAAATAATGCTGCTATGAACATAGTTGAACAAATGTCCGTCTTGTATGAATGTGCTTCTTTTGGGTGTATACCTAAGAGTGGAATTGCTGGATCTTGTGATAGACTGATTCCCATTTTCCTGAGGAATTACCATACTGATTTATTTCCAAAGTGGCTGTACAAGTTGGCACTCCCACCCGGAGTGGAGGAGTGTTCCCCTTTCTCCACATTCTTTTTCCAGCATAAGCTATCATTGGTGTTTTTGATTTTAGCCACTCTGACAGGAGTAAGATGGTTTCTCAGAGTTGCTTTGATTTGCATTTCCCTGGTGAGCACTCTCTCTCTCTCTCTCTCTCTCTCTCTCTCTCTCTCTCTCTCTCTCTCTTTTTTTTTATTTTTTAAAGAAAGGGTTTATTTTCTGTTCCAGAAGGAGAATCTACAATTGCTGGGAGGAATGACAGCAAGTGGAAGGCATGGGGGCAGGAGCAGGAAACCAAGAAATATCATTTTCAATCACAGACAGGAAGCAGAGAGCAAACTGGAAGTGAGACAGGAATATAATCTCTCAAAACACCCCACCAGTGACACACCTTCAAGTAAGGCTGATCATATAACCTGCCTAAACAACACTGTGAGCTGGGGATTAAGTATTGAAATATCAGAGGCTATGGAGACTATTTCTCATACAAACCAGCACAATTGAGAAAAGTTCTACCTATAATATTACAAGAGTTGAGCACTTTCTTGTCTTTAAGCTATTTTAGATTCCTCTATTGAGAATTCTTTATCTAGTTCTATACCCCACTTTTTAATTGGATTATTTGGTGTTTGGAAACTAGCTTCCTGAGTTCTTTGTAAATTTTGGAGATCAGCCCTCTGTCAGATATGAGGTTGGTGTATATCTTTTTCCAGTCTGTGGGTTGCTATTTTCTTGCTGACTGTGTCCTTTGCCTTACAGAAGCTTCTCAGTTTCAGGAGGTCCAATTTATTAATTATCAATCTCAGTGTCTGTGTTACAGGTGTAATATTCAGGAAGCTGTCTACTGTACCAATTAGTTCAAGGGTACTTCCCACTTTCTCTTCTAAGAGGTCAATGTAGCTGAATTTATGTTGAGGTCTTTGATCCATTTGGACTTAATTTTTTTATTAGTTCAAATTAGGAACAAGCTTGCTTCACGTGTCAATCCCTTCTCCCTCTCCCTCTCCCTCTCCCTCTCCTCCCCCCAACATCCCACCTGCCCCTAGACATCCCCCCTCCACTCCCCAGGCAGGGTAAGGCCCTCAAAATGGGCTCCCCAAAGTCTACCACGTCATCCTGGGCCAGGCCTAGGCCCTTCCACATGTTGGACTTAAGTTTTGTGCATGGTGATAGACATGGATCTATCTTCATTCCTCTACATGCCAGCATCCAGTTATGCCAGCACCACTTGTTAAAGATGCTTTCTTTATTCCATTGTATAATTTTAGCTTCTTTGTCAAAAATCAGGTGTTCATTGGTATGGGGGTTAATATCAGGGTTTTCAATTCGATTCCATTGGTCTACCTGTCTATTTTTGTGCCAATTCCAAGCTGTTTTCAGGACTTCTATAATAGAGCTTGAAGTCAGGAATGGTGATGCCTCCAGGAGTTCCTTTATTGTACAGGGTTATTTTGGCTATCCTGTCTTTTGTTTCTCTATATAAAGTTGAGCACTGTTCTTTACAGGTCAGTGAAGAATTGTGCCAGGATTTTGATAGGGATTGCATTGAATCAGTAGATTGCTATTGGCAAGATTGCCATTTTTACTGTGTTGATCCTACCTATCCAAGAGCATGGGAGATCTGTCCATTTTCTGGCATCTTCTTTAATTTCATTCTCTAAAGACTCAAAGTTCTTCGTATATAGGTCTTTCACTTTTTTGGTTAGCGTTACTCCAAGGTATTTTATGTTGTTTGTGGCTATTGTAAAGGGTGATGTTACTCTGATTTCTTTCTCAGCCCTCTTGTTGTCTGTATATAGTAGGGCTAATGATCTTTTGAGTTAATCTTGTATCCTGCCACTTTTCAGAAGGGATTTTATCAGCTGTAGGAGTTCCCTGGTAGAGTTTTTTGGGTCACTTATATAAACTATCATACCATCTGCAAACAGTGAAAGTTGACTTCTTCCTTTCCAATTTGTATTCCCTTGATCTCCTTTTGTTGTTTTATTGCTCTAGCTAAAACTTCACGGACAATATTTAAGAGATATGCAGAGAGTGGACAGATTTGTCTTGTTCCTGATTTTAGAGGAATCTCATTGAGTTTCTTTACATTTAGTTTGATGTTGGCTGTTGGTTTATTGTATATTGTTTTTTATTATATTCAGTTATGTTCCTGTTATCCCTGAAATCTCCAGGACCTTTATCATGAAGGGGTGTTGGCTTTTTGTCAAAGGCTTTTTCAGCATCTAGTTAGATGATCATGTGGTTTTTCTTTTTCAGTTTGTTCATATGGTAGATTACATTGATCGATTTTTGAATGTTGAACCAACCCTGCATCCCAGGGATAAAGCCTACTTTATCATGGTGGATGATTTTTCTGATATGTTCTTGTATTCAGTTTTGCCATTATTTTGCTGAGTATTTTTGCATCAATGTTCATGAGGGATATTGGTCTGTAGTTCTTTCTTAATTGTGTCTCTGTGTGGCTTGGGTTACAAGATAATTGTAGGCTTGTAAAAAGAGTTTGGCAATGACCCTTCTGCTTCTATTGTGTGGAATACTTTGAGAATTGGTATTAGATGTTTTTTGAATTTCTGGTAGAATTCTGCACTGAAACCTTCTGGCTCTGGGCCTTTTTTTGGTTGGGAGACTTTTGATGTCTGCTTTTATTTCCTTAGGGGTTATTATAGGTCTGTTTAAGTTGCTTGTCTGTTCTTGGTTCAATTTTGGGAAGTAATATCTGTCCAGAAATTGTCCATTGACTTTAAATTTTTGGATATTGTGGAGTACAGGTTTTCAAAGTATGAAGTGAACATTCTCTGGATATCCTCAGTGTCCATTGTTATGTCCCCCTTTTCATTTCTGATTTTTTTAATTTGCATGTTCTCTCTCTGCCTTTTGGTTAGTTTGGATAAAAGGTTTGTCTATCTTATTGATTTTCTTGAAGAACCAACTATTTGTTACATTGATTCTTTTAATTGTTTTCTTTGTTTTGAATTCATTGATTTATCCCCTCAGTTTGATTATTTCCTGGCTTGTACTCCTCCAGGGCTAATTTGGTTCTATTTGTTCTAGAGCTTACAGTTTTTATGTCAATTCTCTGATGTGACTATTCTCTAGTTTCTTCATGTGAGCACTTAGAGCTATGAACTTTCCTCTTAGTACTGCTTTCAAAGGGTCCCATAAGGGTTTGGGTAAGTTGTGTCTTCAGTTTCATTGACTTCTAGGAAGTCTTTAATTTCTTTCTTTATTTCTTCCTTGGCCCAGGAATGGTGCAATTGCATGTTGTTCAATTTCCACGAGTTTGTAGGTTTTCTGTGATTTGTGTTGTTCTTGAACTCTAACTTTAAAGCATGGTGGTCTGGTAATACACAGGGGTTATTCCAATTTTTTGTACCTGTTGAGGTATGTTATGTGGCCAAGTATGTGTTCGATTTTAGAGAAGGTTCCATGTGATGCTGAAAAGAAGGTATATTCTTTTGTATTTGGGTGGAATGTTCTACAAATGTCTGTTAATCCCAATTGTCAAAACTTCTGTTAGTTCCTTTGTCTCTTTGTTAAGTTTCTGTCTGGTGGTCCTGTCCAGTGGTGAGAGTGGGGTGTTGAAGTCTCCCACTATAACTGTGTGAGGTATTATTTATGATTTGAGTTTTAATAAGTTTCTTTTATGAACATTGGTGCCTTTGTATTTGGGGCATAGATGTTTAGAATTGAGACTACTTCCTGATGGATTTTTCCTGTGATGAATATGAAATGACCTTCTTCACCTCTTTTGATTGATTTTAGTTTGAAATCTAGCTTGTTAGATACTAGGACAGCTATCCCGGCCCATTCTTAGGTTCATTTGATTGGAAAATCTTTTCCAATCTTTTCCCAAACTTTAATTCTTAGGTATCTTCTGTCTTTGAAGTTGAGGTGTGTTTCTTGTATGCAGCAGAAGGATGGATTCTGTCTTCATATCCAATCTGTTAGCCTGTGTCTTTTTATAGGCTCTATAGGCGAGTTAAGACCATTAATATTGAGGGAAATTAAGGCCATTGAGTGCTTATTCTTGTTTGTTTTTGATTTGTTGTTGGTAGTGGTATGGTGTGTGGATTTACCCTGCTGTTTCTTTTGGCTTTTGGTAATGTGAGATTATCAATTGCCTATGTTTTTGTGAGTGTAAAAAAATGGAATGCTTCACAAATGTGCATGTCATCCTTGTGCAGAGGCTATACTAATCCTCTCTGCACCCTTCCAATTTTAATATATGTGCTGCCAAAGAGAGCACTTAGTGGGATTCTTTACAGATTATGATTTTCAATTGTTGTCCTGAAATAATGTACCTCTTGAAGCCATTTGATGAAGATAGTCAACGTTTTGATTGATTTGTTAATTAAAAATAAAACTTCATACAAAATAAAAGCAATTATTTACATACTAATTATACAATTCTTCATTTCTGTTTTCCTTATTGTTGTGTACAAGAGATAGCATTGTATAAAAAGTTTATTGGTAATAATTTTTAAATTTGTTGAAATTAAAGGAAATGTCTCATGACTGCAGTGTGTTAACTAAAAACAATCATTTCTATCACTATAAAGGCTTCAAAACACTTTATAACATTTCTATGTATTTCTTTCCAGATGGAACACTGTAAATTCTACATGAAATGAGCTTTAATGTTTTTCTGCTTTACAGTAAAATAAGTTTATGGCTTCTTCAATAGACTAAATCTCTTTAGTTCCAAGAAATCAGCTTCTAAAGTCAGCCATGTGGTAATATGCCCTGTGCCATATTCCTGCCCTTTGTGTATGGCAGGATTATGAACAATTTTGTTAGGAATCCATAAATCCATGCTGACAGTGAACTCACCAATAATCTCATAAGAATTTCATTATTTTGGATAATTACATTTTAAAAGAAAACTATGTGATTCAAAATCCTGTTGACATTGGTTTTTAGCAGTTGGCATTATTAAAACATCATCATATATAAGCTTATAAAAATAGGACAATTAGTTTGGAAAGATATTACTATCACAGCAACCATATTTCGGAGTAAGCAAAATAAAGAAGACAGACACAAGTCCCCATGACTAATATTCAGTAGGGAATGTGAGGCAATATCCCTTCATAGCTCTTATCACTTCTTGCCATTTGACTTGAAGTCTAGAACTTATTTTGCCAGTCCAGCAGACAACCAATAGCATATCCCAAAGCACACTCTGCTTCCAATTATTGAATGTCTACTATCACAAAGAGGCTGAGAATATGTGCTTGCTAATTTTTTCCCATACTAACACTACAACCTTTGAAATTCCTATTTGAGTGGTTTAACACCTTGATTTAGATTGAAAGTGATGCAATATTTCTCCCTTTGTATTTCAAATGTATTAGAGACAAGAACCTTGGGTTTATTCAAAGAAGGGAATGGTTTGCTCAACAATCCACCTTCAGAGAAACAAAGCATATTCAAAACCGAATGTGAAAGCAGCACAAAATTATGTGGCTTCTCTTTCATAATTATTCACAATTGCATTGGTTCTCATTTGATTTGGTGGCTTAACATAATACCTCTTTTGTCTGAAAAAAATCCTTGCTTTGAACATGGTTATTTGTTGCTAGTGCTTAAAGGACAAGGAAATAAAGCAAAACTTTCCTAGAGAAACATACATTCACTTTGTCTTCTAGGTGTTCCCAAAAGATATCAAGCATGAATTGACTTTTAAAAAAATCCCCAAGACTGGTATGTATACTCAGTTGGTACAACTTTCTCCAAGCACACATAAACTTGGAGTGGATCAGATTTGGCATTGGGTAGGGCACTGAAGTACAGGTAACAACACCACATGGTGACAGAACAAGTAGCATCCAGGGGTATGTTGACCCCTATATAACAACTGCTACTTTTGACAATAGTTTATTCTCCAGAGAAGAGTAGAGAGAGGGTGTACAACCTGAAATAACAGCCATGGAAAAGGCTATGATGACTTCCTCTTCTCCTGTACATTGCAAATGCCTCGGTCAAAAGAAAGGAGAACTGAACAAGGAAGAAAAATGAAGAAAGGTGGGACAGAAAGAAGGAAAGAAAGAATGAATAAAAGAAGAAAGGAAGGAAAAAGGGATTGAAGGAAGCATGAAAGAAAGGATGGAAGTAAGGAAGGAAAGAAGGAAGGAAAGAAAGAAGGAAGGAAGGAAGGAAGGAAAGAAGGAAGGAAGAAAGAAAGGAAGGAAGGAAAAGAAGGAGACAGACTCAACCAAAAACCTAACTACAGATGTTTAAGTCCCAGCACAGAAATGAAAAATAAAGACAAAATGTCTCTTCCAAAATTAACAATCCCAAAATAATGGCACCAATGAAAATAGCTGGAACTTCTTGACAAATAGTTCAAAACAATGCTTATAAATACATTGAAACAACTCAGGAAAGACAGCAATTAATTTCTAAGATAACAAAACAAACAACTGAATTAACTAAGGAAGGCAATTAAAAATATGAAAATAGAGTTCAATAAGGAGCTAAAATTGTGTAAGGGAAGTCAAACTAAAATGACTTTCAGAATGAAATTATTAACCAAATATAAATTAGTGAAAATTCTTGCCAACTGAATGTACCATGGGAATAACAAAATATCAGGGCTTGAGATGATATAAGCTTGTGTCACTCAGCCAAACTCAATGAAAAAAGTACTAAAGTGTATACAACATGGGAAAATTTGGGACGCATGAAAAGAACTATGAATTGTGAACATACAGAAACAATTCCATGCCAAAGTATTGAAAATAAACTTCAGTAAAATCATGGAAAGATTTTCCCAAATTGAGAGAAAGAGATGTCTATCCAGGTACAAGTGGCATACAAATAGAACTAGAACAGAACTAAAATAGACAGAAATAGAAAAAAAATCTCCTAATAATACATTATAGTTAAAACACTAAAAACACAAAATAAGGAAATGATGCTGAATGTCATAGGAAAAAAGGGTCAAGTCACATACAGACACAGAGCAATTGAAATAACAGTTGATTATTCAATAGAAATGTTAAAACCCAGAAGAACTAGAAAGATAAATTCTGATTTTAGGAAGATCACAATTAACTATAGCACAGGAAACTTCCCTGAGTACTATATTAGCCATAAGAATGTGCAAATGTAGAGACTTTATTTAATCACAATTGCATATATTTATGAAAACTGAAGATGAATGTTTTACTACTTTGTTCTGACACCAAGGTTTAGTACTACTTTTCTATCACATGCCTCATTGGTAAAATGTATGAGAAAATAACCATGTTGTGAAAAAGTGATCAAAGCAATGTCCTTCTCCAGCTACCTCTTTTTCCCATTTCCATTTCTAAAAGAAACTTTAATATTTATCACCTATGAGTAAATTGAAGCATGGTTGCTGAACTGAACCAAAATAAGTTACTTTCTTATCTAAAGCTTGCCATTTGTGGTGGTAATAAGATAGGATGGTTAGTTTATCTTTGATCAAGTGAAAACATTGAAACTATGAAAACGAATTTTTTTGAAACTGAAAATGTCACATTGAGAAGTTAAAAAATTCTTTTGCACAAAATGGTCTTTGAAAATAAAAGGGTGCTGGCAATATGTATGTGAGAAATAGAAAATTCCACTAAGGGTAGTAATGGGAGGGGGGGACTTGGGAAATACATGCAAACAACTTCAAATGTTTTCCCTCCAGTTGTGTTATTTTTAGCCTAGAGCTACTTTTTTGAAACTATAGAGGAAAGGGAACTAAGTTTCTCTTAAGCAGATTAAGTTAGCCACCTGTCAGAAGTAATAAAAATCACTTCTTACTCAATAAAGGAAAAACCACAAAGAGGATATTACAATTCTAAACATGCACTCATCCAACACAGCTGCACAAAGTTTCATAAAACATCTCTATATCATAGATTTTGTTGACTGATAATTAACAAAATTATCAGTCTTTCTAACGACAACAAAATCATCAAACTGTTCTTTCTCAGGGTTGTTAGAATTTCTTTATTCACTTTAGTCTGGCGTGTAATGATTTGTATTCTAATAATTATATCTCTGTCTTTATCTTCACATGGTGCTCTCTTCCACTCCCTCCCTTTTTTCCTCCCTCCCCCTGACTTTTGTGCTTACCTACAGTTTTCTGATAGAGTCCTAGATATATTAAGACTTCCTGTGTCTCTATAGCTCCCTCTTACAAGGACAACATAGGTCCTACCCTATGCAGAAGGATTTAAGTCTAATAAATTACATCTGTGATTACCCTAATTCCAAATAAGGTTACAGGCCAGCTGAGGCACTTGGATTTAGCACTTCAATACACAAGTTTTTGGAGAATCATAATTCAACCCATACCATATATATGGGTGGTATCAGAGCTGGAGCGCCATCTCCTCACCCATGCTAGCCACTCACTGTTGTGCTGCATACACCCCCAGGCCGTTCCACAGGATAGTTTTTAAATAAGCGGCATTTTTAAGAATTCTTTTTTGTTTGTTTGTTTGTTTGTTTGTTTTTTTGAGACAGGGTTTCTCTGTGTAGCTTTGGAGCCTATCCTGGCAGTCACTCTGAAGACCAGGCTGGCCTTAAACTCACAGAGATCCACCTGCCTCTGCCTCCCGAGTGATCAGGATTAAAGGTGTGTGCCACCAACGCCCGGCAAGAATTCTTTAAAAAGAAATTGAATTTAAATATAATTGCAATATTTTCCTGTCGTTTTCTTCCTCCAAACCCTTCCTATGCAGCTTCTTGCTATCTCATAAATTCATGACTTCCTCTATTTCTTTAATTGCTTAAAATAGATAGATTAGATTAGATAGATAGATAGATAGATAGATAGACAGACAGACAGACAGACAGACAGACAGACAGATAGATGAACTGAATGTGTAGATATGGATATGTCAGCTTGTATAATGTTAGTTGTATGTGATTTCAGGACTGCCCACTTGGGATATTTTAATGTGGAGAAATTCACTCAAGGTACAAAGCCACATTATAATTAACTGAATATAAGCATATAATTTAATGCTGATTTGTATATATACTTATTTTAATTTTGTAGTTTCATTGAAGATAGTGTACTGTTTATGTTCTTTTTCACTTTTTAAATTATTGTTTAAATTTTTAAAATTAAAACAATCTTATTTTATATACCAATCCCAGTTCCCTCTCTCTCATGTCCTCTTACTACCCCAACCGTCTCCCCATCCCACCCCCACCCACTCCTCAGAGAGGGTGAGGCCTCCCATAGGGAATCATCAAAGTCTGTCACATCGTTTGGGG